CTGATCCATTAAGTAAGCACGGACAGCATCAGTATAGGCTCATAGGTAGCAGGGTCAAACATGAGATCTGTGGCAGCCATTGGCATAGGCAAGAAATCCGAGGGAGGATCACGAGCAAAGATCAACTTATAGGGGCTGAACCCAGTAACCGAGTGTATAGAAGTATTGTAGACCCAAAGTAACGCAGGCAAATGGGAAACCCAATCAGGTATCCCAATATGACGACGTAGCATGTCCAACAACGAACGATTAAATCGCTCTACCAGTCCATTACCTTGAGGGTGGTAAACGGACGAGCGGGATCGCTTAATACCCAAAGCTTCCATAACCCGATTAAAGAGGGCAGACTCAAACTGGGCACCTTGATCAGAGTGAATACGGACAGGCGGGCCGAACTTAGAGAAGAGGTTTAAGAGATGAGGTAAAGTCTCTTCTACCGTAGCACGCTCTAACGGGTAAGCTTCAGCCCACTTAGTAAAGTAGTCTTGCAAGACTAACAAATACTTTTTACCGTTAACCGCAGGCGTGATCTCCAAGTAGTCAACAGCCAAGGTATGCCATGGCCTTCCAACCGGTACCGGTACCAAAGGGGATGGAGTCGGACGACCAGTACGGGCAGCAAGACAACCGGGGCACTTCTGTAGGTACTCATTGATATCAACATGCATATTAGGCCAATAAACCACCGGCTTCATATTCTCCAGCATCCGTTTCTCCGCAAAGTGACCCTTCTCATCGTGGAAGTAGGCTACAGCTTCGCCTCTCAACGCAGTAGGAACGATGGCTACACAACGGACGGGAGTCAGTGGGTCTGTCTTCAAAAGGCGAACAAGAACACCTTCACAGACATCCAGAACCGACCAAATACGCCTATAGGGCATATATAGACGAGAAGTGAATTCCTTACGACCCAAAGGAGCATCCACTAAGACGCGATCACGAACCTCGCAAACCACATGGTCTTGTTCTTGAGCTTCTCGAAGTTTATCCCATGACCATAACGGACATAAAACCACTGCGGCAATCAGGGGATCCTTCATAGTGTCAGGTAACAAGCCTGACAGTTCCGGATCTTCTGCAACCACCACAGAATCTGGAGGAACAACCTCGAGATTTGAACGGACGGGACAAGACTTAGTAGGAATAGGGGCCTTGGATTCAACTTGCAGTTGTGGTCGGGACAAGGCGTCGGCATTAATATTCTTAACACCTTCTTTGTAACGGACTTCAAAGCGGAAGTTTTGCATAGCCAGCAACCAACGTTCAACTCGTGGGGACTTCGACTTAGCCAACTGT